CCACTGCACCTCCCTGAGCCTCAGTGTCCTGTCTGTGAAATGGGCTTCCCCACCCACCTCATCAAGAAGGGCTGGTGATGTGAGTAGATGCCAGAGAGCAAAAATGCTCGTGTGTGGGCGCTGAAGTCAGACCACCTGGGTTCAAGTCCTGCTCTAGTTCTTGACAGCTGCGTAAACTTGCACAAGTCACTTAACCTCTCTGAGCCTCAGTTTCCTCATCTGTACAATGGGAATGCAATGGGACCTGCCTTACAGGGTTGATGGGAGGGTTGGATAAGATACCCACACACATAAAGCCCTTACGGCCCATCGTGAGCATCACAAATGCTGGCCTAAATCGTGCTTCTTGATGGTGATGTGCTGTTATTCTGTTTCTGATGTCTCTACATCGGGGCCCCCACATCCCTCTCCTTTGAAGGGCCAGGTCTTGGGGTAGACACTGGGGAGAGAGGCACGTGATCTGTGGCCCATCTTCTTGGTAACCTGCCTGATGTCCAGAGGTGCCCCCAGGATCAGGGTCTGGACCCTGGAAAGGATGGAGCTGGGCATGTGGCTATCCCTGGTACCGGGCGGGAGACTGTCGCAAGTACGAGGGCAGGGACTGGGTCTGCTGGGTTTTGCCTGTTCTAGCCCCGGAGGCTGCTTCATAGTAAGTGCTTTCTGTGAGTATTTGTTGAAAGAATGTGCAAAAAAGGAACAAATGAGGGTCCTCTCCCTTCCCATGGGATGAAGATGGAGATGGGGCAGGGGTGGCTGGGCCTGGGGACGCGCAGGAAGTGGGGGCTGTCCCACCTGTGTAGCTTCAACTCACTTTTTCCCAGCATTGGGCTGCTGCCTGTGAAAGACAAAGAGGGACCAGATGATCCCTGGGGCGAGGTGTAATCTGCATGGGGGCTTAAACTGCTGGGGTTGGCTTCATGGGCAACTCCCCCACCCAACCCTGGGGAACTAGGTTGCCTGGCTTGGGGCTGCAAGGCTCGTGCAGCCAGGCCACTCCCACCCAACTGAGGGCACCCGGGACTCACCGGAACTTAGTCTGCTGGAGCTTGTGTGCACCTGTGATCTGTCTGTACACCTCGTTCAGCTGCCAGGCAATGGAGGGCCGTGAGGCTGGGCCCTGGGGAGCCAGGTGGGCTCTCTACCCAAAGGACCTCTCAGGGTTGTCTGGGGCACGCCCATGGGGTCATGTCCTGAGACCCCGGCTCTGTGGCCTCCGTCCCCTCTGGACACATTCCCAGGGAACAGATCCCAGGTGGTCTCCATGCCAGGCACATGTCCAAAGAAGATCCTCTTTCCCACCTGGGAAGATCTAGGTTCTGCAGCTGCTTCCCCAGCCACCCACGCCCCACCGCCCTGGGCTCATCTTTGGTCCTTACATTCTCCTCCACCTCCTGGCGCAGCTGGTTACATTCTCGAGTGTCGGGCTTCAGCAGGTTCTCGGTGCAAAGGCGGGCAAGGCGCAGGGACAGCCCGTAGGGCACTAGGGGTAGGTGGGAGGGATGGGTGTTGTCAGCCCCCTGCACAGTGGGCACTGCACAACACCCCCTCCAGGACCCATGCTGGGACTCGGGGGACAGATGTCCAGCAGACCAGGCACATCAGGGCCTGAGGCTTGTAGTGCCATCAGGAAGGGGCAAAGGTGGCCGAGCCCTGAGCCTGCACCAACATTCAGAGAAAACAGGAATGGGGTGACCCCAGATCCAGAAGAGAGGTCTCTGAGGGCCCCAAGGGCACTGCCAAGAGGCACAGTGCCCAGCCCCTGCCCTCACCCAGCTCTGTGGGGTTGGTGCTGGCAGTGTGGGTGGCAAAGCCAGGCCGCTGCACGTTGTTGGTGATCTTCCAGCGGACCATATCACGCCCCTTAAGGTTCCCGCTGCGCAGCATGGGTGTGTCCAGGTGGTCTGAGACCATCAGGTTCTCCCGCAGCATGTAGTGGTCTTCTTTAAAGCCCACCATGTGACCTGCAGGACACTGTCCTCAGCACGGGGCCCATCCCTAGACACACCCAGCCATACCCCAGTGAGAGGGACCCCAGGGCCTCCCACCTCACTGTTCCAGGCTCAGCCCCCACTTCTCCTCCACCCCAGCTCAGGGAAAGGGCAGTCAGAGCCCCAATGCCCCTGCCCCTGCCAAGCCCATACCTCGGTTGCAGCAGGGAAGAAGTGCCAGGCAGGCCTAGGAGACAAGGTAGGAGGGGTGAGTTATGGGACAGCTGCACAACCCAGGAAAGGCCCGTCAGCCCCCCACTCCCCACCCATGCCCCTGTTGCAGGTTCACTGTGCGTGCAACTATATTAAAGGCTCTGAGAAGCCCCACAGAGGAGACATCTGTTTTTCATTTTTTTTTTAAAAGATGACCAGTAAGGGGATCTTAACCCTTGACTTGGTGTTGTCAG